GCAAATCCTCAACAACCATTCCACCATCTATCATTGACCTTTGAACTTCACTAAGGACGTTGGACTTCAAAAGAACCATTTCTATGCGAATCCTATAAAAAGTCTGTCAAACTTCTCAATAATCTAGAACAGAAGAAAATGAAAAGTAATATTTTGCATTATTGCATACAGAGTTAACGTGTAATTCCTCAGTAAGGCTTAGGTATTACTTAATATGGCTATATTTCCAACTTGTATGATGGATATGGGTCAGCCTGAATATATGCAGTCAATTGATGTAGAAATTAGGAATTTCATACCAGAAGTTCAATATATCATGATCAAATTAGGAAAATATAGCTTACCTGCATTCTTTAAGGTGATGGAAGGCATCTGAACTGGTAGTAAGCAACATCAAGCATGTATTGACCTGTCACAAGAAAAAAGATTTGTTATCCAGTGCTGCAGGCATGACCAACATAGAGAAAAATATGACATCATGGTATGTTGTAAAAGACGCATAAAGTCCTTTGAATCGGACGACATTATGGTTTACGGTACCAAAATAAATGAAACAAAAGGAGTCTAGGGTTTTCGAATCTTGGGAAAGACTAGATTACGAAAAGAATAATTGTTTTGCTGCAGTTTTGTTTTGGTCAGTTTCTCTTGGGCTCTTTTCCTTTGATTTTTTGCCTTTTTTTTGGCGGGTGGTCTTGACTGGTTGGTGAATCGATGTAAATGTCTGTAACCAGGCGGAGAAAAATACTATGATAATTTGTGTTGATCCGATTATTCGAGTATTTGAAATAGTACTCAAATAATTTATATCATGATTATATTTAATATTATTATATATCATAAAAATAATATTTTAATATTGTATTTTATGAAAGGAACTAATCAATTTGAAGTCATTCTAAGATAAATATATGCCGACTCGAAATAATTATATTAAAATGAAATTGTTATTATATTTTTATTAGTTTCGAACCATTATAAGATAACATTTGTTTTATAAAATCTTTCAGTTAATCGACAGTATACACATTTTACAATATAGTTGTTCTAACTTAAGATCTCTAATGAATACAACATTTTCTTTACTAATGGAATCACTTAATGTATTTGAAATTATCACTCTTTAAAATTTAGTTACTAAAATGATATTATAATTTTTATTAATATTTTTTTTTATGAATGACATATTAAATTTAAAATTTTAATAATTATGATATGATATATTGAGATGTTTTTGTGGTAAAAATATTTAAATTCGATAATTGAACCGTTGATTTATTGATTCAATTAAAAATTATCGGGCATTCGATTTGCTATTTTTCATAACTTATAAATCAACGGGCCACACAATTTCACTTAAACAGGCACTTGACTATCCAAGTTTTTTTTTTTTTAATTTATCAGAATAAAAAATTATTTAAAACTTTCTTTCCTCCTCCCAAATTATTAACTTAATTTTTTTGTTGAATTGTAAAGATAATATTATACAAAAGTTTTACATCATATTCAGCTTATTGAAATCTAGTGTTGGCAAGAGAGCATCCGGTGGTTCAGTGAAACACGATAAGTCATAACAAGGGAGATTTCCAAGTTTGGCAATCATGTCTGCAGCCTTGTTTCCTTCACGGGGTGTCCAAAGAATGTCGGTTGTCCATCCTTTATTTCGAAATTTATCAATGGCACGAACAAGTGGAATTGAACACGAACTAGCGTTTAGGCTCTGAAGAAGATTGACCGCTTCTTTGCTATCCGATCGTATCATTAGTTTTTCAAAACCATAGTCCCAAGCAAGTTGGATTCCAATGAAGATAGTCCCACAGTTTAAGTTGTAGCGGTTGAGTTATTCCGATCAATTTATTAAATCTAATAAGCCAGGAGCCTTCATGGTCTCGAATTTTACCTCCAATTGAACCAATTCCATTTACTGAGGAGATCGCACCATCAGTGTTCAAAACAACCCAGCCTTCCTGAGGTCGAAGCCAATGAGGTACTCTAGTGTTTGTCTCCTAGTGATGCTTTTGCGAATGATAGAATCTAGGGAAGACCAAGAGTTGTTGAAAACCACTTCGTTCCCATTTTTTTCCATATTTGTCATAGAGTTGAGGCAAATAATGTAGGCCAAGGTAGGTTCCAGGTAGAATGCAATTTATGAGATTGCAAATTTAACTGGATCCATTAAAAAATATTGTTATGATTAAAGAAATGAGTGCGGTTTGCGGGTAAAACCTGGCACCAGGCGTCGCGAGCAGAATGACAGTCCCTCAAGGTGTGAAGGATTGTTTCAGCAAGGGCAGTGCGGGGAATGAACTACGGATCGACGACATCTTTCAACATTCGTCATTGTTGAGAAGCTAGATTGAGCTTCAATATTCAAGAAACATTGAATTCATTCTTATTGATTTCAGTAACCAGATACATTGCTTTATAGCAGCTAATAGAAGCTTAGCACAAGTCTAGAAGCTTTACAACTAACTCAACTAGCTACTAACAATTCTAACTCCCTTAACTAACCTTAACTGCTTAGCTATTCTAATAGTCATTAGTCTTTGGTGGGCAGAAATCCAGAGGAATAGGCGCAACCGCTGAGGAATTTGAAACTTCCAAATCACATTTCAGATACGATGAACTGGGTTCCAATGAATATTTGCCAAGCTTGTAAAAGCTTATTTTGTGCTAAATGAATGATTTACACTCCAGCGCCAGATTGGCCTGTTAGTTTGATCCGTTGGATCAGGGCACTTAAATTTTTAAAATCTCCTAATTTCAGCCATTCTTTTAATCTTACTGACGACCATCGTCTTCTCCAATCTCATAGCCTTCACCGTCAATCCGTCGCGGATCAGTCGAATCATTCTTCAAGGCTTAAACCTTACAAGTCGCACTCACAACCAGGGTTTCAAATCGAGGTCGCGTTTTCGGTTATTTCAGATTTACCGTGATTGCGGCCGTCGCGGGTAATTCGAAAGGCGGCGAAACTGCTATATCGCGGCCAAAATCGCGGTCGCGGACCGTTTTTTAAAACCCAGCTCACAACTATACATACTTTACAAGCTGTACGGACTTGAAATTGTATGCATCCGAAAATGACGGCTTAAACAACATAAAGGGTGCGTGAAAGTGAAAGCGGATGGTGAGATGAATGTGCGTACGGGTCTAACATCGGCAAGAAGGGTGATCATGAAAATGGAGAACCTGACAGTTTGTGAAGGATCTTACTATCTTAGAAGTAATATGGCAGAGCACCACCACTTGGGAGTGTTCCGATCTACCAAGCCCTCATCGTAACAATGACCAAGCTACCTCGACTGGAAGCATTAGCTGAACTCACCATGAGAGTTCAACCAAACATAAGTTTTTTAAAGGTCCCCAATTTGGTAACCATCTCTCTCTCAAGAATCCCATTGTGTTACCCTTCTCAATTTGCCAAACAATTCCATTTTTCATCTCTTCCCACACATTGTCAGTAATTTTTGACCTTCTTAACACTTTCCTATCCTTCATATTCTTACTTTGAGAGACTAAGACCTCCATTTTATATTAGGATATGAGAACTTGAACCCCAAAGGCTCGATTTGGGTGAGTGAAAAATCACTCTTCATTAGAAGAATACTATTGTCGTGCGATATATATCAGTATTTTATTAGATGGAATTAATATATTAAATACAAACAATATTAAATCAAATAAACAATAATTAGTTTAAAATTAAATAAAAAATTAGAAACTAAACTAAACAAAAATAAAATTTAAGATACTTAACATATAATTTACTTATTTATTATGAGAAACTAGGTAATGCCACAATATATATAGTACTGATAGTGAATGATATAGTTTTCGACCTTTTTTCTAAGGAAAATTAAGTAATATGTGCTAAAATTTCAAACTTTCCATTAACAATCGTCACTGTTGGTTATAATTTTATTTTCTCATCAAAACCCACTTTTCTTTGAAAGTTTTCTTTTTGTGAAGTCTTGGAATGTAAGATATTATTTGTTTGAAGATGATTAATGTTTATACTTAGAATGCATGCAATCATGGACACTGGTGGTTGTCATTCTCTTTACCATGCTGTTGGGGTTTATGTCCATTAGAAAATAAGACAATTACTTGTGTATGTCGATCGAACTGATTTTATAGTTTTGCTTTGTTGATCGACATCAGTTCAATGATGTCATTGTTTTCTTTGTTATATGTACTAAGGAGAGCATGAATCGGATGTCAACATCTTATCGAAATGAGAACTCAACCTTAGAAGCTGACCAGAAATGGTGAAGTCGCTACCATCTTTGTTCTTCGTGGTCTTCCAAAATAGTAATCCCATCAAATTTCTTTTTTATGTTCTTTTTGATTTAGTTTATCTCTAGTCCAAGTTTAGACAATAATATTTACTGAAATAGACAAGGTATTAATTGGACGATTCTCGTTCACAAGTTGATGCATGGTTGATTACGCCTTAAAGGCAAAATACATGTAATGTAATCAATTCTGATTCCATTTCTTTAAGTTGTATTCTACAACAACATATACCACAGGACATCAAAATTTGAATCCCGAGGTCGAGAAAGATATCTGTCAAGTTTTATCATACATGGGGCAAAATAAACATTTAATGTAGGAAATAGTTTTGGTAGTCAAATAGCTGGTTTTACGTGTCAGGCAAGTATTTACCGGCCCAACTCAGCTTTTTGTCACTCTTAGTCATGACTATTAATGTTGAGAGATTAATTTGTTATAAATCAATAGATTTAGTGATTAATTTATTATTTTTAAAATTTAAATAATAAAAACAAAAAATTATTTAAATATTAGTGACATTTGTGTAGTTTATACCCTTTGATAAACGGGCCTTCTTTATTTGTCGCACTGAGCAACAATTGAGTTAGTAAATCCTCGAAATTACGAAAGCATCCATCCAGGTTTCTCATGTTTCATGACTTGTATAAAGGTTAAATTGGTCATTAAACTGGAAAAACCTAGCTATATTGTCTCAACTTTCACTCTTCCATCTCTGGAAACCCTAGCCAACATCTTCTACTCCATCGAAGAACAAACCCAAAAATGCCGCCTAAGTTCGACCCAACCCAAGTCGTTGACGTCTTCGTCCGCGTAACCGGGGGCGAGGTCGGAGCAGCCAGTTCTCTTGCTCCAAAAATTGGTCCCCTGGGTCTCTCTCCCAAAAAGATAGGTGAAGACATCGCCAAAGAAACCGCCAAGGACTGGAAGGGTCTCCGCGTAACTGTCAAACTCACCGTCCAGAATCGTCAGGCTAAAGTCGCAGTGGTCCCGTCGGCGGCGGCTCTTGTTATCAAGGCATTGAAGGAGCCGGAGAGGGATAGGAAGAAGACCAAGAACATCAAACATAACGGGAACATCAGTCTCGATGATGTCATCGAAATTGCTAAGGTAATGAGACCGAGGTCGATGGCTAAGGATTTGAGAGGGACAGTGAAGGAGATACTTGGCACGTGTGTTTCCGTTGGGTGTACGGTTGATGGGAAAGATCCTAAGGATTTACAGCAGGAGATTGATGATGGAGATGTTGATGTTCCTTTGGAGTGAAAAAGTTTGTCCTTTTCGTTCTTACGATTATCATCGTGTTTGTCGTTTTAAAAAATGTTCTATTTTAAGATTTTAAGCAACTTGCGAAAATTTAATTCAGAGATTGTTTTGAAGTTTAATTTAGATAATTTCAAGTATTATGGCTTCGTTATTTGATTTTTTTATGCTTCTTTTGATTATATTGTCTAGTTTAAATGCTAGTCTTGTGCTTGGTATGAATGAAGCGAATGGAAAATCCGTGTTTTGATTGTGCCACAACTTGGTAAGTAAAAAATTAATAGAAAACGTAAGTTTTGTAGTATTTTTGCTTGGTAAATGAGTGGAAAAATGTCCCATATTAGTTGAGTTTCAGTTGAATGCAGAAGGAAGGCATTCACGTTGTTCTTCTGGTTATCAATGTGCCATTCTTTTAGCCCCTTTCTTTATATTGAGAGGTCTCTGAATGTCTGTTTTTGGATGTTGTGGCTAAGTATTCTGGTTTGCATGGTATGTTTAGAGGTTTGTTTCTTGATGAATACGATGAATACTTAACTTGTCGGATTCTGTTGGCTATTTTTGAATGTAGAACATATCACAATTATCTTGTGATGATAATTCCTAACAACCTCGTACTTTTTCCAATCTAGATTCACATTTTATTTTCTGAAAAAAAGTTTGAGTATGGCCTGCAATCATCACTTCTGGATATGTCTAGCCCTTGTTTTATTTGTTTGGCCTACACTTTGCTTCATTGTTAGACCTTTTACGTGTTCTTAATTTTTTGCATGCTAAATTGTGTTCTTTTTATTGATTCATGTAGCATCCTGATTTTGTAATGTATGCATATAATGTCCTGACATACGGTAACATACATGCCTGGAAAGACTCATGTTTTTGTTCAATTGAGATTGAGGCTTGTTTGTTTCTAGTCATTTCCTTCTCTGCTTTATATTCTTTGGCTGCATTTGAATGACAATTGTAGCACTGTGCATAGGGTGGTTTTTGCCTTAAACATTCATGTAACTTCAGTTATTAAGCGTATTTCATCATGGCTTGGGATTGTGTTTTTAATCATATAGTGTTTGATATGTTACTCAAACTGTACTTAATTCAGACTCATAATTGTACAACCACAATTGACATATATGCTGCTGCTTTAATGTTGAGTGGTGGTATTTGTAAGTAGTTGCTCACTGGCCTGAACAGGTGAAAGCCTTGGAATAGAGTAGGATCTTTGGATGAATTTGCCCTTGAGACGACTATCTTTTTGCCTGTCTATTCTCAAGAGTTTGTGCATGTGTTCTGAGTCATTTGGAAAGCCTGTCATGTTTAGCTTGGACTTGCATGTCTTTTGGATATCTAAGCGGTTGGTATTTGGGATGTCTGATTATTTCTCTACGACCACTTGTTCCTTACCTAGGTAAGGCTTTTGCACTTGGACGAAGTTTTGGCTGAATATATCTCAGTATCTCCTATTGATTCAGTGTTTCTGTTTCCCCATTCCATAGGTAGCATCTGAGTGTTTTGATCTTTTTTCTCATTTTTTAATGACAATGCAGTGAATTCACTTTTAAAGGGAAGGGAAAGGATGTTGTCTTCACTTCATAGTTTAAGGTGTTTAATTGTGGCCTGATATTGTAATATAATTGTACAGTGCTTTTTAGGGGGTACTGGATTAAGTGTGTATGTAGGGACGATATAATTGTACGATTGTAAAGTTCTTGTTATATGTAGGATGATATAAGCTCTTGCTGTTGCTCAATCCGTACTTAATCCAACTATCATAACTTTATGGCCATAACATGGGATATGCATGATTGTTTGTTATCTTTAACTTGGAACTCATAATTGGCAAAAAATTGTACCTTGGGTGGATAGGGTAGGATCTTTTGTTGAATTTGCAGTCTGCCTAACTATGCGTGTTGTGTTTTTTTATCTGAGCCATTCAGAAAGCTTGTTGTCTTTAACTTGATCCCGAGATCTCTGCTAATTATTAGTCAGTTGGCAATGTGAAGAACTTGTGATCATTCGTTCTTTAACTTGGGAAGGCTTCTACATTTTGTTGGATTTTTAGCTGAGTATTCTCATGTCTTCTTTCACCTTTCCCCGTTTTGTAGGTCGCACCTAAATGTGTAGATCTTTGTTGACAAATTTCACTTTAAAAGAGGAAAGGGATGTTGGCTTTACCTATTTACATTCCTGATTCTGCCACTTGGTGCGGAACTATTACTTCCCTTTTGGCTTGTCTTGCTACACCTTTCACCATATTGTACCGTCATTTTCATGCTTGATATTTCTATGGCGCAGATTCTCTTGGGGGTGCCATATATATATTCCTCTAACACCAAAGTTGGAAATTCTCCATTGCTGAACAATTTAGCCTTGTAATGATGGTGCTAGCCCAGCAATTTTTAGATATATTTGAAACTAATATATCTTCCTTTCCTTTTCCCTCAAAACGAAGGTTATCACCCCCACTTTATAATCGTCCACGTGGGTTAGCTTCTTGCAGATAACTATGTAGTTTCATAATCATCTCCGACATGGTTTCTGTATATAAACCCAGATATTTACAACAATTCTCTTGTGCAAAACCAAAACATAATCTGCTGTTATTAGTGCTGTTGTCTGACGGTCGAAAAGAGAGATTCTTTCTCCCATTTTTGATTTGTTGTTTTGAATATTTTGATTGATAAAGGATGGCTAGAGAGCTGAGGTACATGATGAAGCATTGGATTGCGGCTGCCCTTCCATCCCTCGTCGATTTCCCGTTGAGACTGTCCAATATTCCGAAACTATAGACTATCAAAGAAGAGCGAGCTGAGGAAGAATACGAGGATGTCAATGATGATGAATTGATGAAGAGTGATTAGCTTTTGATTATGGTTAGGTTGGAATTGGCGTCCTGGTCATGGAAATGAAATTTTAAGTGAGGTAAAATGTACTCGGATGTTGATAATCATGTATTATAATTTCATCAGTGTATGTAATAACTCTTGGTTTGTATAATGTATAAATTAATAAACCAAACGTTAAAACAATCTAGAATGACAAAATTCTGCGGCTATGATATAGAGCCAGTTTGGTATAACTTTTAAAAATTGATTTTTAGAAATGTTGTATAAAATTACAGTTTAAAATTTAATTGTGGCGCCACTAAAAAGTGAGTTTAAAAAGAAAAAATGTTCATTACAAATATTATGTTGTAAATTAAAAATATAATATTTAAAATACATTTTCAATTGTATATGAATAATATCAACTTAAATTATAATAAAATTTTAAAATTAATATATATCAATTATATCAATTTAAATATAATAAAATAATAAAATATAATTATAATTATAATTTAAATATAAAAATATAAATAAAAAATATAATTATAACAAAAATATATTTTATGTACATCACTATTAATATTTTAATATATAAATCTTGAATTTTATTTATTTTTAATAATTAAAATAAATTATTAAAAGTAATAAATTATATTTATATATGAATAATATCAATTTAAATTATAATAAATTTTTTAAAAAATATTATGTATGAATTATATCAATTTAAATATAATAAAATATAAAAAATATAAATAAAAAAAATATAATTATAATAAAAATATATTTTTTGTAAATCACTATTAATATTTTAATATATAAATCATGAATTTTATTTATTTTTAATAATTAAAAAAATTATTAAAAGTAATAAATTATATTTTAAGGATGTTAGTATTAAATTATTAAAATAAAAATGTAAATACATAATTAAGTGAAGCACATACATTAATAAGGGGATAATTGGACTAGGGTCAGGTCGGTCAATTTTGATCCGATTTGAAAATTTTATTCGCTTCATCCGAAATTCGACGCGATCCAAGATTAGGATAATTTCATCCGACCCAAAATTCGATTAAACTTTTGAGATAAAATTCAACTCAATTTTAACCGAAATAATATAAAATTATCAAACTTAGTCAATAAAATAAAATAGGGACTTAGTTGAAAGAAAATAATATAAAGAGATATTATTGAAATTATTTTTAAATATAATATTTAATTATATTATTTTTAGATTATGTCGAATATTTTTCACTCTAAATCTAAGTTCGATTCGACTCAAATCGAAACTGATTTTTTTTTTAAAAAAATCCGATCTAATCAGATCAAAGCATCTCCAAACACAGCAAATTCGGATCCCGTAACTATCCACAGATGAGAGTACTTGCAGATACACGATAAGTCTAAATATGCCATTTTCTAAGTGAATGCGATTTTGCGACTAAACCGTTGAAGTGTATTCACAACAATTGCAATGTTTACTCTTTCCCTACGTAGAAACCTTTCATTTCACAAACAATTAATGTTCTGGAGCAGGGAGAAAATATGCAAGTGTTAAAATGAATGAAAATTACGGCAACTGCTAAGTGCCTTCCATCCAAGAACAAAGAGGAAAGATAATTTAATTTCACAATCGATAATTCCATTATTGTCGTTAAAAAGAAGATAATTCCATTATTGAAATGCTGACACGTGGTCAAATCCAAGAAAGCTGCATCAAATAAAGCAAGAATGATCAGAGGCAACGGAAGAAAACAGAATAAATAGTTGAAGTCTTATTATTATTACTTTTAAAGTAAATTATTACTCTTATTTTTTTTATTAGACTAATGTGATTACAAGGTAATACGTATTCTAAATATTTAAATTATTTGATAATGAATTTTTAAATAATTTTATTTGTAGAGGTTAATGTTCGAACTTAAAACTTCTAAAAATAATAAATTTCTTTTTAATCACCGAAATAATTTAATTCTTATTATTATTAATTTAGAAAAAAATAATTAAGTATTAATCATAAAATATGATATAGGTGATGAAATTATGATGTTAACGTGGCTTGGTCGGTCCATTACATTAATACTTATATCAGCACTCCGAAAAAAATTATATGATTTATTATACAAACAACTTGGTCAGAAGTGTAATTTGAAAGGTTGGTCGGCATTGATAAGTTGCATATTTATAAAATGTTATATAAATATTATTGGTCAATATAGTAAATCT